CTGTCAGAAATTCCTCCTTATTTCCAGGTTGAAAAATCTCTCCTTGTTCAGTTTCCATCCATTCTTCCTTGTCTGGCCTTCAGGGGCTTTAGAGAATAGCTAGACCCCCTTCCTCCTCTCTGGGGCAGCCCCTCAAATATTGGAAGACTGCTATCCTGTCTCCCCTGGTCTTTCTCTTCCCTAGACTAGCCAGGCCCAGTTCCTGCAACCGTTCCATCGTATGTTTTAGCCTCCAGTCCCCTCATCATCCTGGTTGCTCTTCTCTGCAGTCTTTCCGACATCTCAACCTCTTTTTTAATAGTGTGGTGACCAAAACTGGATGCAGGACTCTAGGTGTGGCCTTACTAAGGCTTTATAGAGTGGGATTAGTACCTCCCTTGATCTCGATTCTCTCGCTCTGTTCACCATGTTGAGTTATTTGCAAGAATAACAAAGCCAGGAACGAAATAAATAAACCTCTGCAGATTCACCTCTGGCCGTTCCTTGCTCTGGAGCTGGATGAACTGTGTCTCTTTTTTTGAGAGGACCCTTTCTGGATTTCCCTCCCCTCCGCAGGAGACTTTTGACTACATCGGCAGTTCCCGCATGGTGTACGATATGCAGAACGGCCGCTTTCCCATCCAGCTGGAGAACATCGATTCCTTCCTGGAGCTGAGCCAGGTGAGGCGAGATGAGACGAGGCCGCTTTGGGTCTTTTTACCTGGCTGCTTTTCCCGATTTCGGAAAGTGGGACCGAGCTTAGTTAACCCAGAGAGTCGGGTCTTTGAAACGTGAGAACGCCAAGACCTCCGGCGGGTGGAAGCGTCGCAGAATAGAGCGCAGGATGACTTCGCGGCCAATGACGGAGTCTTACATTTAGGGCCAGCCTGACGCTTTCTGCTTGTAAACCCTAAGACCTCCTATAGCAGGGGAGCCAAACTCCAGGCTGGCCCGTGATGTGGTTCGATTTGGCCCGCGGGAGCGTCCTGGAGAGTGTCAGGGGCCGGCCCACATCGCTTCAGCCCGGTCTACCCAATGCGAAGAGACCACTGATTCCTTCCTGGAGCTGAGCCGGTGAGACGAGACGAGACCAGGGTGCTTTGTCCAGGCCAGCAGTTTGGGGAGTGGTGGTCAAGCTGGCCACGCCCACACAGTAGGCCACGCCCCCGAGGTCAACCATAGCCCTGATGCGGCCCTCAAATGAAATTTGAGTTTGACACTCCTGTCCTTACAGGGTCTTGGCCCTTCTAGACGCTGCCTAGAAAGCAGGAGGTTGTGAGTTCTAGTCCTGCCTAAAGCATGAAAACTGGCCAGGTGACTTTGGGGTCAATGGCCAGGAGCCGGGGAGTTCGAGTCCCACCTTAGCCAGGAAAGACAACTGGATGACTTTGGGCCAGTCCCTCTCTCTCTCTCTCGACCCATCCACACTTCACAGGGATGTTGTTTTTGGGAAAAAACAGGTGACGGGATTAGATTACTGCTGTTTACTGTAGATGAGGGGGTTTAGCCAGAGTTAATTTCGAATCAAATTCCTGGCTCTGAGATGTTTGCACTAGGCCCCTCGCTGGTGGTCTAAGGCAGGGGTCCCCAACTGCCGGTCCGCGGACCGGTACCGGTCCGCGGAACAAGTCTTACCGGGCCGCTGGTTGCTGGGCGCCGCCATCTTTTTTTGGTAAAAAAGTGCTTCTGGTGAGCTTTTCCGGGTAGAAAGCTCACCGGAAGCACTTTTTCATCAAAAAAAGATGGCGGCGCCCAGTTGTCGCCGGTACCGGGCCACGGCGTCAGAAAGGTTGGGGATCACTGGTCTAAGGCAGCGGTTGCCAACCGGTGGGCCGCGAGAAAATTTTGGAGGGCTGCAGAGAAATCTCACCCCCAGATCACCCCCCCAAGGAATTAATCCAGGCTGCGCAGAAACGCAAGGCTGCGCCGCCCACATGGCCCGCGGGAACCCTCCCCGCCCCCTCACTCCTTACCTGGCAAACTTGCCAGCTAAAATTGCTATTTTTCCTTTTTTTCCGCTGTGCCAGGAGATTTAGATTAGCTAGAAAGCAGGAAATGGATGGATTTCTTGCTTTCTAGCTAATCTTTAGATCTTCGGCTCTGCTTTTAAGCACAGCCGAACCTCCCTTAGGACTGAAGGTTTGCTTGCAAGCAAATTCAGTGCAGACTCACGGCAAAGCGATTTGAGAGACTGAGCTAGCCGATGGCAGATGGATAGATCACTGAATGATTCTGTGAGCAACTCAATCTGCCTGCTTTGCCTGATTTTGGTTAAAAGTTGCTCTTTTTTTAAGAAAAAATTCAATGTTTACATGCATGGTGTGTTGTGAGTTAATTTTGTGAGTGAGCAACTCAATCTGCCTGCCTGCTTTGCCTGATTTACATACAAGCCATGCCCAGCCAGTCACATGACCAACAAGCCACATCCACAAATTAGGCCACGCCAACAGAACCGGTTAGTGGTCCCTGGGATCTAAAATTATGAGTTTGGTGGTCCCTGAAGTCCAAAAGGTTGGCGACCCCTGGTCTAAGGGTTCCAGGAAAAAGGAAATATGTGTGTGTCTGTGTGTGTGTGTGTGTGTGTGTGTGTGTGTGTGTGTGTGTGTATAAGAGAAGAAACAGCTCTCCGGTACTAAAATTATATTTATAATACTTTCTAAGCTTTCATCAGCCTCTGCTGAGATCGTCAGAGTATTAAACTACCATTACAGAGATCTATACCTTTATATACCATTAATATATTGATTAATGATATATAAAGGCATAGATCTCTGTAATGGTAGCTTAATCTATTGATTAATGATGTATAAAGGCATAGATCTCTGTAATGGTAGCTTAATACTCTGACGATGTCAGCAGAGGCTGACGAAAGCTTAGAAAGTATAATAAATACGTATAATTTTAGTTTCCAGAGATGTCTGTTTCTTCTCATAAATGTGTGTGTGTGTGTGTGTGTATCTATGTATCTATGTATAAAATATATAATATATAATATAGATGGTTCATCTTTGCTCCTTCTTGTGTCCATTCAGTCCAAATTGCTGTGTGTGTCAGATTGGGCAACGGCTGATTTCTAAAAGGTTGCCACTTCCTGTTAACCTGGGGAAGTTGCTTTCCCTCAGTGAGGACTCCAGCCTGTCTCTGGGGTTCTGCCTTTGATGCCCTTGGGAGGATCTGTTGGAGGGGAGGGAAGCACCCTGGCCCTCTTGCACATGGGCCCATTCCGCTCCGTCTGTTGCAGGTTGCGCTCCGGACTAATGCCTCCCTGTGGATGCACACAGATCCCATCTCGCGAAAGACCCCCGAGATTGAGGTAAGGGCGTTTGCTTGGCTGCCTGGTCCTTCCTTCCTGCCTGCCTGCCTGCCTGCCTGCCTGCCTGCCTGCCTGCCTGCTTCCCTCCTTCTTTCTTTTCTGTGGTTAGAATGCAGTATTTCAGGTTAATTCTGTCGACTGCCAGCAGTTCAATTCTCAAGTTTGACTCAGCTTTCCTCCCTCCCTCCCGCCTGCCTGCTTCCCTGCCTCCTTCCTTCCTTCCTTCCTTCCTTCCTTCCTCCCTCCCTCCCTCCCTCCCTCCCTCCCTCCC